CCTTGGGCTCTGTGCCTGCCCTGCATGCCTTGCCTTGGCAAAGTGGGAAAGAAACCTGTAGTGCAAGCAAGTGTGGTTACCTTGTGGTATGTGGAAATGTCCAGAGAGTGGTGGATCTCAGTGGAAAAAACCAAAAGCCCACAGGAACTGTCTGGTATCTCTACTCTGACCTGTGAAACTTATTCCTCCTCAATGTCAAGTGAGTAAAATACTTGGGCCTCATCACTTATCTTTCCAGTCAGTGAAAGAATCTCCTGGACACCTGTTCTGGCTGGGCAGTTTCCATCTTCTCAGCACAAAGTGACAAGGTCACTCTGCTGCTTCTCTTTCAACATGGCATTATTATGATAGGGACTAAAAAAAGACGAAAGATTAAACTCTTCTTAACCAACTAGTGTCAAAGCAGACTCCTCTTCTTCCTGCTCACCTTTGCAGTGGTCTTGGTCTAGGGCTTGAGCTGTAGAGTGGCAGGAATCTGACCAAATTCAATAAGGGGAGTGTATCTGGAAGGAGGGCTGTTTAGGAATAAAAGGTGCTGTGGGCTGAATTGTGTCACCAGAAAGGATACAATGAAGCCTTTGCCCCTGGTGCCTTGAGTGTGAATTTAATTAGAAACAGGGTTGTTAGCATGTCACTAGGTCACCCCAATCTTAGCCTCTACCATCACACATCATATAGATACATAGCTATAGCTATAGATATACAGATATGACATACATATATATATATAAAAAAACTGTGTATATCTGTCTGGCATTTTCCTCATCTTGGATGTATCTCATCCGAATGACCTCATCTCCATTTGATTACACCTGCACAGACAGACCCCAATGTCCAAGACCCTAGCAAGCCTCCACCCAAAGCTAGGGGATTGGCACAGGGGCAGAAACACTCCCTTACTCATCTCAGACTTGACTTCAGACTTCTAGCCCTGAGAACTGTGGACAAGAAGTTTCAGTTATCTTGCCTCCTAGTTTGAAGTTTGTTGCTACATCAGCTCTGAGAAACCAGTATAATGAACAAGAGAGTCAGAGGCTGGCCAGGGTCTCCGAGAAGAGATCCTGAACCTGGTACATTTCCTCCTGATCAAATAACTCAAGGTGAATGGTGATATGAAACTCCCCAGTCATACCTGGAATCCAAGGAGAGAATGGGCCCATGCATGCATCTGTGTTCATGGAACTCAGGTGACACACAGTGGAGAAGGTAACAAGGACCACTGGGGTCAGGCCTCCCCACCGGAGTGTGAATACCTCAGTCAAAAGCCACCCAACTCCCCACGGGGTCTCCACTCTCTTCGCTTACTGATGTTAGTGCAAAAATCAGAAAGCAGAATACTAAGTGAGCAACTCCAGGATGGTTCACGGGATTCGTGGGTTAGCTCTTGTTTTGGCCCACAGCTGCCAAACATGTGTTCCTCAGTCTTTCTTCATCTATCCTCCATGCTTCTCAGGTGGATGGAAGTATCCCATCCCTCCACATGTCCCCTCTGCTCTTAAGAAATGACTTCATACTGGCCACTTATGCCAATATAAGGTTGGCGTCTTGATATAATTCCCTTACAAGGACAGTCACAGAAGTGGAACTGGGGTATTCAATGTATAGTTCTGTTTAAAAACAGTCAATTAGCACAACCATGTGGAGGAAGCATTATTCAAAGGGCTTCCAGAAAGCTTTGGAAATGTCCCCCCCCCAGGGGACAACAAAACAAGCTATCTAGGTCCAATCAGCAGGTTTCTCTCAGTGACTTGAGGGTGACTATGATGTGACTGTCCTGCCCAGATAAAAATGGAGGGACAGCCAGGCCAGTGGCTCATACCTGTAATCCTAGATACTCAGGAGGCTGAGATCTGACCATTGTGGTTTGAAGCCAGCCTAGGCAGGAAAGTCCATAAGACTCCTGTCTCCAATTAACCACTAAAAAGCCAGAATTGGTGCTATGGCTCAAGTGTTAAGAGTGCTAGGTTTGAGTGAAAAAGGCCCTGGTCCTGAGTTCAAACCCCAGTACTGGCACATGCGTGTGCATGCAGGCACGCACGTGTGCACACACGCATACAGACACACAGGGATAAAGGAGCAGAGGAAAGGTTACAAAGGCTCTATCCACTGAAAACAGAAGCAGAGAGGACTATAGCCGAGCAGGAGGAGAGCAGCTACAACCTGAGAAAGCTCCTTTTTCTCATGGCCTGAGAAGATTCCCAGCTGACTTACCCCACTCACCAAGGGCAGTCAGTGTGGACAAGGGCACATAGGAGCCTGTCCAATAGCTAGCTGTCTTCCTAAGTGACAGCATTTTAGCATGCCCCATGCACTCTCGGCTGAGCAGACAATGAATCTGTTCACAGCACCAAGTTCTACAGGAAAGTAAGGTAAAAGAAAACGCAAGTATTAGCCAACATGAGCTCCCCTGCCACAAGACCCTCCTCCCCCTCAAAGCTCTAGCCCTGTTGGACCCCAGGACTGTGGGAAGGAAGGTGGCAGAGGACAGTCGCCCCATGAGGGCTGTTTCCTTTCAGCTCCACTTCTGTGCCCCCCCACAGGTCGTGATTCAGGCCATAGATGTGACAACCAAGCCACCAGTATCAAGAAATTCAAAAGCAGCCACTATTCTGCCCCAACTGGGAGCGATGAGCCAGGTAAAGCAAGAAAAGCCATCTGGGGACTCACATGTGCTTGGCTCAGAGGAGGAAAGTGAGGGGAGGTGAACCTGGCTCTGGATTTTCTGAGCTTTCTGCTTCAGCAAGGGGTCTTAATGAAGCCTAAATGGCTCATCTGCAGCCTAGATAGGCAGAGCTCCTACAGTTGTACTTAGCAGGGGCCAGACACTGCACTACAAATTAAAATCCTGTTCTTTCCCAACCGGGCAAGGCAGGAGGCCAAGGCCGCCTCTGGCCACTGCTCTATTCTTTCTTCCATTTCCCAGAGAATGGTTTTCCCTACCACACTGCTGGCTAATAAATGAGGCATCCACTCATCCTTTGATTAAGACTGTGCCTCAGTCACAAAATTGTTGTCATTGAAATGTAAGTGTGCCTATTTCTTCTGAGGCTTTCTCTGAACCCTGCATGAAGCCTTCCTCCTTCAGCAGCAAGCTGTGCAGCCTGGTCTGTATCACATGCTTCCTGGGCCACTGTGACAGCATGGCCTCCCACGTGCCTTGGTTCTCCCCAGTTCAAAAGTAGGTCAACTAGTCTCCCACTGACAGAGGCTTGTTGCCTAATTTTCCCATATGTAAATTGGGCCCTAAACATGTATCTCCAAGCTTCAGTCCAGTTGGAGATGACAGGTTTTAAAAGTCCTATTTTCCCATTTACCATAAAATTCCACTCCTGTTATGCCCAGAAGGAAGAGCTGAAGCAGTCTTTGGAGATACCTGGGCTACAGATCATAAGCCCCTGAAGAAATGTCCTTCATGTCCTCAAGACATTTCTTTGTTAAAAGGAAGAATCTAGAAGGCCCAAAAAGGGCAATAAATTAAAGAATGCTCTTCATGATGTTTGTTTGAGATTCACTCAGTAAGTATTTACTAACTAGCCACTGCGAGCCAGACATGAGCTGTAAGTTCACATATGTTTAAGTGCATGAGTGGTAGCGGCTCACTGTGTCCACTCATGCACATAGGGACTGTCAACCTGAAAGGCAAGTTGAGGTCAACTCAAAGGGCCAGTCAAGGAACATCAAGTTTACCCCATCCAAAATGATGGTCACTCATGCAGAAAACACAAATTCTAAGTGCCTAAAACAAGTACTCCCAAATGCTCTCTCTTATAGATTTTTGAAAAGAGGATATAACAAACTGGTTGTTATCATTGCATCAGTAGATAGCATAGGACACTGATTGTTCATCATGATTGTCCATAACTGATGGATAATCAATGAATTCCAGGTAATAATTGAGATAAGCAGGAAAAAGCTTATGGGGTTAGTTATTATCTTTTTTATCTGTCCCACTAGGTCTTAATGGGTTCTCATATGTTGGGCTGAGTGATTTTGTGACTTTGTACTCATGGTATTTTAAGTCTTTCATATTTCCCCTTTTTGACCAAAATCTTTCTCTGGAAAGTATTGGGATGATTGAGAGAATGTTCTCAGTAATTAAAAGCTGACGGCCCCAGGTGGCTAAGAAGGCTTATTCCTATGTAGTCATGTTCCACGTGGTAAGAAGAGAAGGAGACTGTAGTTCTGAAGCCAGGGCCAAAAAGGTAGAAAGCAAAGCCAGGTCTCATGAGAGCACTGGCCCTAAGTCACCCAAGCGTTGGTTTCTGAATCCCATCTAGTCGTTGGGCCACCATGATTAAGTTTCTCCTACAGTCTCAACATACTGGGGCACACAAAAGATCAGCAGTTTAAACCAACAACAACAACAACAACAAACAGAATAGATAACGATAGTCAGCAAATGACCAATCTTAAATCCTGACCTCAGGTGTCTCTTCTAAGACCACCAACCGTGCATAATGGTTGAGACTCTTCTGTCAGGGGTGGCTGGTACAGATGAAGGTAGAAAGGCAGGCACCAGCATTCATTAGAACGCAGCAAGGGCTAGGTCCAACTGGAACAAAGACCTGCCTCCAGGAATGGAAAGGTGAGGGGAAGCGACTTCTGTTTCCCCTGAATGGAAAAATCTCATCTTTGAAATGGGTCTGGTTAAACCAAAGGTTTAACTCTGATCAGTTCATTAAACTTCCTGCTAATTCTCCTTCGCCGGATTTTGACCAGCCATTTGCGGTTTCTTCATTGAAGATCTGAAAATCCTTGTGTCGTTGCCCCACAGAGACTCAAGTCTGTTAGGAGAAGACGAGGCCCTCGGAGATCCACCGAGGTGCGGGGCGCGGTGGAGCGGCCCAGGCCCGGCCTTGCGCAGGCGCAGTGTGTGACCACAGGATCCTCCCCATGTGGCCAGTCAGGTTCCTTCCGGTTCCAGCTCCTTCCGGTTCCTCTCTGTCCCTGGCGGGAGGCCGGAAGGCTGGTGCACCGGTGTGGGTGTCCTTGTGGCAGGGATGGATTCCTCCTGGTCTTCCTCTGGGAGCGGGGAGGGTGCGATGGACCCTGAGTTGCAGCATTTCCTCCAAGTGGAGTCGCAGAAGCAGCGCTTCCAGCAGCTGGTACACCAGATGACTGGACTTTGCTGGGAGAAGTGCATCGACAAGCCGGGGCCGAAGTTGGACAGTCGGGCCGAGGCCTGTTTTGTGAACTGTGTCGAGCGCTTCATCGACACGAGCCAGTTCATCTTGAATCGACTGGAACAGACCCAGAGGTCCAAGGCGCTCTTCTCAGAAAGCCTTTCGGACTGATCTCAGCGTTGCCTGTGCGGAAGGTAGTTCAAGAATCGAAGCCACGTGGGTGGGATGGTCCTGGCTCAGGTTGGAGGATTGGCTCTGGCCTTTTGTCATTCTCAGGACATCTTGTTATCTGAGGATGAACTAAGTCCACTTTGGAGCAGGGCAGGGATATGTCATTTTTGTTTTGGTTCTTTTAATGCCAATCTTAGGAAAGTAAATGACAGATTACTTTGAATGGAAAACTATTAGATGCATATTACTGTACAAGGAACTGTGTTTTTCTCAAGATCTGCTCAGCTACCACTTTTAACAGTGGGACTGCTTCCTGTAATTTGATCATGGAAATCACATAGTAAAACTTTGAATTCACCCTATGTGTGTGAATTCATTTCAAATTTTTAGGGAGATCTGTGTCAGAAAAGGGAGCAATGGGAAAATAATTTGTCACTTAACTGTGTTACTTACTAGTGTTTCACTGTCAGTGGAGGAGGGGTGGGGAGAGGGAGACACATGACCCACTATGAAATGTCCATAGGAATGTCCATACAATACACTTTAGCTTTCTATGTTATCTCCTTCCTTGTACTATAATTTACTTAACTATCTAATTTGGTAGATAGTTCTCATGTTATAACAAGCAAATACAGAAATTTAGTTTTAAAGAAATCTTATAGCCAGGCACCAGTGGTCCGTGCCTATAATCCTAGCTATTCAGGAGGCTGAGATTTGACAATCATGGTTTGAAGCCTGCCCAAACAGGTACAGCCAAGAGACTCTTCAGTTACTAGCAAAATCCTGGAAGTGGAGATGTGGCTCAAGTGGTAGAGCACCACCCACGAGTGGAAAAAGCTGAATGAGAACTCCACACTCTGAGAAGAAAGAAAAAATAAATCTAACAAATGAACATAATTCTTCCACAAGTGAAAAAAATTTGTTAAAGTTCTTTCTATCTTTTATATGAACATGTTTAGAAACATAACACTGCAGGATTATTGGTGCTATCAAAAAAGCTTCCAAAAAGGCATTAAAATAAGGCTATTTCACTGTAGACAAGACTTAAAATAGCTCTAGTTAACGATCTAATGACCAGCCACAGTTGAAAGATTTGGCTCTTTTGAATACAAAATTTTGTCACTAGAATTATGGTTGATAAATATACAAAGATAGAATCCTATATTAATTAACAGTATATAATTAACACTATATTAATAACATTTATAGAAGTATAAATCTAACATGTATCCTCTGTACCTCCAGGTACCCTTTGGAGATCCTAAAGTTAATTCTATATGTAAAAACAATTTTAGAATTTGATTTGGAGATGTTTATTGAAAATATAAGCAAGTTTAAGATACTTGATCAGGCATGATCTTGGCTGATTGTTTAATCAAAGCATAACTATCCTTAGAAACTGTCTTTGGGGCTGGGAAGGTAGCTCAGTGGTAGAGTGCTTGCCTTGCATACATGAAGCCCTGGGGTCGATTGCTCAGCACCACATAAAGCAGAAAAAGCCAGAAGTGGTGCTGTGGCACAAGGGGTAGAGCGCTAGCCTTGAGCTGAAGAGCTGAGGGACAGCACCCAGGCCCAGAGTTCAGGCCCCACGACTGACAAAAATAAAAAAAGAAACTCTCTTTGCTTAAAAAACAAAACAAAAAAACAAGATTTCTCCCTTGGGCCCAGAGTGGAAGCATGGGATTGCAGTCTTTATTTGCATCTGTCTTCTTTGTCTTAGTGCCTCAGATCAGACTCCTGTTTAACTCTCTACATAAGCATGTTCACTCATCCAAGCAGTGTCTATAAACAGGATACTTAACCTTTTGCAGCCTATTTCAAGGCCGAAGGCCCAGAGAATAACTGAAGTTCCATTGCTTTTTCTATGTCCTGTTCCAGAGCCCCCAAAAGCCACCTGAAACTCTCCTATCATTGTCATAAACCTGCCATCACCAATGATTCCAGTGGCAGCAGAGCCTTGCAGACAGATCACTCCATGACAGCCCGTCAAGCAGAAACGATCAGCTAATGGGAACCAGAATGTCCTTTCAAGCAATAAGGACTTCTTCAAGCCCCCTTGCAGCAGAACCAGAACTGAGATAATGATCAGTAAAACCACTGTTTGCCCAAGATTGCTTAATTATGAAAATTTCCTGCCCCTTGCCCCAATTCCTCTGTTTAAATCTAATATTCTTGTCATTACTGTAAAGATAGGTTTGGGTGGGGGGAAGTCATTGCATCCATTTATCTGTACTTCCCAACATGGCCTTGGTGAATAAATCTCTCTCTGTTCTTCACCACTACTTTTTTTTTTTCATTAATTGGTGTATTGGGATGGGATGAGTGGCCAAGTTTAGTCTAGACTCCAGGAACCACGCTTTTGCTAGGTGCCAGTGGCTCACACCTTTTATCCTAGCCTCTCAGGAGGCTGAGATCTGAGGAGCACTGTTTGAAGCCAGTCAAGGCAGGAATTATTATGAGACTGTTATCTCAAATTAACCACCGAAAAGCCAGAATTGAAGCTGTGTTTCAAGTGGTACAGTGTCAGCCTTGAGCACAAAACAGGGACAGCATCCAGGCCCTGAATTCAAGTCCAGTTCTGGCACACACACAAAGCAGCAATATAAATAAAAGGCAAGGCAAATGAACCAAGTTTGCAGTCAGTGAAAACTTAGCTATTTTAGGATTGAGAAGACTCACCTCATGACTTCATAAATGAACTACAAGCACAAGGATTCTTGGACAGGAGTCATGACCCCAGTGGGAAAGCAGCTGCCTAGCAAGGACCTGAGTTCAAACTCCAGTACTACCACTTTAAAAAAAAGACATAGGGCTGGGAAGGTGGCTCAGTGGTAGAGCATGCATGAGGCCCGGGATTCGATTCCTCAGCACCACATAAGAAAAAAGAAAAAAGCCGGAAGTGGCGCTGTGGCTCAAGTGGTAGAGCACTAGCCTTGAGCTGAAGAGCTGAGGGACAGCGCCCAGGCCCAGAGTTCAGGCCCCATGACTAGACGCAAAAATAAATAAATAATAAAAAAGAGGTAATATCCTAGGCCTCCTGATTTCAAAAGTGGAAAAATATTTTACTTCTATTAATAGGCAGGGCTGGGAAGGTGGCTCAGTGGTAGAGTGCTTGCCTTGCATGCATGAAGCCCTAAGGTCGATTCCTCAGCACCACATAAGCAGAAAAAGCTGGAAGTGGCACTATGCCTCAAGTGGTAGAGTGCTATCCTTAAGCTGAGGGACAGTGCCCAGGTCCAGAGTTCAGGCCCCATGACCACCACCAACAACAACAAAAAACCCTGTTAATAGGCACCAATAGTTCATGCCTATAATTCCAGCTACTGGAGGCAGAGTTGTGATTTGAAGTCAGCTCAGGCAGAAAGTCCTGAAGATTCTTATCTCCAGTTAACCACCAAGGCTTTTATTGGAGTCCCTTATCTTTACAGCACTCTAGAAAGCTGATGTCCTAGGTCATAATGATCCTACACTTCCAGAGTAGCCTAGAGGTGCTTAAAACAGAGTTGTAAAGGCAGTATGAAGAAGTTCGACAATTCCTGGGGAAATGGCAGGGCTGAAGATGCGGGTGCAGCCGGTGAGGATGGAGCTTCAGGAGTGCAGCCATCATTCTGATTCTCGTGGCTGCCTTGGACTCAGGAGCCTGGGAGGCAACAGCAGTGTCCTCACTTCAGCTTGGTCATACTTGATCTGGGACGGTCTCAGGGCAGCTGCTGCTGCAGTGGGTCACAGTAGAAGTGACTGACAGCCGTCAATCAAGGAGTCTTAAGGGCTTGTTCCATACAGCTTTGCTTATTTAAATGCATCACATAGGTGTTTATAATAAAGACCTAGCATAAAATGGAACACACTTGTAATCCCAACTACTACCCAGGAGGCAGGAGAATCTCCAGTTGAAGGCCAGCCTGGGAAAAGTTAGCATGACCCAATCTCAGGAACAAAATGCAAACCAAAGGACTGGGGGGATAGCTCAAGTGGTAGAGAACTTTAAGCCCAGGCCTTGGGATCAATCCCCAGCACTGAAAATAAATAATGAACAAAATTCTTCTCAGGTAAGCCTTATCTAACAGTGCTTCAATCCCAAACAAGTTCTTCTTAGGGGGAGTTAGGTCCTTCTGATTGTTTCAATTTTTCTTCCCAAGTCCTTCTAGAAGAAGTCGCAATTTAATGAAATCTTTTCCCCCCGTTTAGTCAATAAAGGTGATTTACGCTCCTTTCATGTTCAAGGCACCTTGCTGGCCATAGTCCAGCCAAGGGGAAAGCTCGCCCTTGCTTCAGGCTGGAGGACAAGATGTGAGCCTGTCACATTAACCAGGAATGCAAGGGAAATGCCAAGTGAGAGGGCCATACCAGAAAGACAGTGGGCAAAGCTTTGACAAGAAAGTACCCACACAGAGAGTCAGAAGCAACTACTAGGGAGATCCTGAGCTCAATCCTCAACCTGAGCACCCTTTCACCATCCACTGTGCAGATGGACTTCAGATGATGAGTTCACAGCATGGAAATGTGAACACTCAACAAAATTAGGTGTGTCTGGATTTCTGTTAGACCCAGGCTCTCAGAAGGGGAAACTGTCCTTCCTCAGGGCCATACACGGTGCCTAGCTCCAGAACCAGGAACTTTTATGAATATGAGGTACACACATTTTCTTCTTTCTAAATGTTTCCTTTTGCAAGGGTTCGTTCAGTCTTAAAGAGATATGGCAGGGTGCTGGATACACAGCCCCAAATGTAGCACATTTGACCTTCAAGAATACAGTAGAAGAGCTGGGAAGGTGGCTCAGTGGTAGAGTGCTTGCCTCACATGCATAAGCCCCTGGGTTCAATTCCTCAGCACCACATAAGCAGAAAAAAAAGAATACAGTAGAGTTGGGCGCCTGTAATCCTAGCTACTCAGGAGGCTGAGATCTGAGGATCGCTGTTCAAAGCCAGCCCAGGCAAGAAAGTCTGTGAGACTCTTATCTCCAATAAACCACCAGAAAACTGGAAATGGCGCTGTGGCTCAAGTGGTAGAGCGCTAGCCTGGAGCTGAAGAGTTGAGGGACAGCGCCCAGGCCCAGAGTTCATGCCTCATGACAAAAAACAAAACAAAAAAAAAAACTTGTCAGGTAATTAAAATGTTATTTAACTATAAAATGGTTAACAAATACATTTCTTCTACATGCATCTACAAACAGCTTCACTCTAATAATTATTCAAAATAGTTTACAAATATGTTCAGCCTCAAATGAACATTCCTAAAATAAATGCCTTCTCTGAAAATACAAATACTAGTGGAACTGAAGTTAGTCATGAAATATCACAACCGCCTCAACTTCCTCAGACTAATTACCTAGAATTCTAAAGCTTAAAACCAAAATAAATCAAAATCTACTGTAATAGTCTACCTTGAACTACTAAGACTTCCTTTTTTTTTTTTTTTTTTGCCCATCCTGGGCTTGAACTCAGGGCCTGGGCACTGTCCCTGAGCTTCTTTTACTCAAGGTTAGCACTCTACCATTTGAGCCACAACACCATTTCTGACTTTATCTGATTATTTGGTACCGAGGAATCAAACCCAGAGCTTCATGTGGCACTCTACCACTAAGCCACATTCCCAGCCCCTACTAATACTTTCATCTCACCTCTGTCAGTGAGGCTACAAACAAAAATGAACTTTTATATAGTTGATAGGAATGTAAACTCATAACTTTTACAGACCTCAGTATGGAGGGTCCTTTAAAAAGAAAGTAGATCTACCCTATAACTTCCTGATATCCTGTTATCTGACCCTTGTAACATTCCCTTTGATCTGTTTCTGAAACTGACCCTTTAAAATTTAGGGATAGAAAACACACCTTCAGTTTAATTGTGTCTGCTGATTAAACTCATTCCTTGCCCTCAGGAGCAAAAATATTGTTGCATGAGCAACTCTTCATCCATCCTCTAGACGGAACTGGCATTACATAACAAAAATTAGCAGTTATGATAGACTTTAGATCATTTTGGTCAGTTTATTCGGAACTGTCTTATAAAAGACAAGAAAATGAAACAAAAGAAGAAAGAAAATGCATCTTAGTAGGCCTAAATACTGTTTCATGGAATGTTCTCCAGAGTTGTATATGTGTTCTTTCTGAGTCACAACAGAATCTGGTCTAATCCTTTTCATTTGTAGAGCAGAAAATGCAGGAACAGTGATGCTAAACAGAGCATGTGAACAAGAATGTGACACAGGCCTCCAGTCCAATGTGCCTTCCCATGTCCATCTTCATGCGTCTGCTGTGGCCCTGGTCAAAGTCCCGGCGACCGGCCATGTGTTCACAGCCCTGTATTGTTCTGAGTGAAGGGTGTCACAATCCTTGTTCCTTACCCTCAGAAGGAGCCAGACTAGAAAAGGCACTTCTTACCGTCCACTGTGCTTACCTAAGGGCAGCTCATTTGACCTTGCCTGCTTTGGGGTCAACCAGGAATAGTACAAACCTAGAAATCTAAAAGAAGAATGGGGAAAGGGCCTGTGGTTTGACATTTTTCAGAACTTTTTTCTTGTGTGTGTGTGTGTGTGTGTGTGTGTGTGTGTGTGTGTGTGTTTCCAGATTGCTCTTCATGTGTACAGCTCTAGAAAGGAAGCACTAAAAATAGAAGAGTCAGCAGAGAAGAGGGGTGGCGAGAGAGACAGGAGGTAAGAACACCTGCCGGTCTCTAAATCTAGGGCCTGGCTGGAGTTTCTCAGGGGAAGTTCCAGGTTCCAGCCATTCTCATCCCACCAGAAACTTGCCTAGCCTCTTCTTAACCCCATCAGAAGCCCAAGGTCTCAGCTCTTCACCTAGCCTGAAGCCCCAAAAGATACTCCTGGGAGGAAGCACGCGTTTGCAGGCTGAGATCTGATTTCAGGAGCCTGCCAGAGCCAGCAGTACCTGAAAGCACACATTAGGGCAGGTGCGCCTCCAACCAGCTGTGCCTTCCAGGGGCTTAAAACACAGCCCAAGCCACACCCCCACCCCACAGACCCCAGAAACCAGTCTGATGTCTCATTCTAGCAAGTAGAAGGAGAGGAATATCAGGTCTCGCTGTGTGTGCACAGGATCTGTTTATTTGCCTTACAGTGCAGGTTTCTTGGGGACCACCTTTGGAAGGAAGAAAAGGTCAGAGGTCATTAGTGGGAGGGACTAGATGCTCTTTTCCTTCCTACTCAACCCCTGTGTGTTCCCTACCTCAGCAAGCACCGCCTACCTTTTACCTCCAGCTTAT